GGCGGGGTTCGCCGGGCCTTTCGTATTCGTCCCGGTGGGCCTTTGCCCCCCCCCCCCGTGTGCCCCTGGAGATCGTCCATGTTGGGGCCAGACGCAGCATAACTTTTCTGGTGGCCGGGAGAGAGTCTGTTAGATAAGTGTAGATTTGCTTGTTTGTTCATTAGGTTGAGATCTCCCCTTCCCTCCAAGAGACCAAGGGGGTTACGTGGGGATTTGCTCCCACAGCCACAACCCTGTGAGGGGTTGAGCCGAGAGAGGGGGGATAGCCCAGGGTCGCCCTGTGGCTTTCTGTGGCTAAGGAGGAAAACGTGGGCATCCAAGGAAAGAACAGGCCCACAACCTTGTGGAACAGTCGCAAGGACAGAAATTTACAACCAGAAAAGGTCCATCTGAACAGGGAGGATGGAAGCCTCGCGATGACGGCTGGCCAGTGAAGGGGCTTCGCTTCTCTCCCTCCACCTCTGGGTCTTCAGAGATGAGGAGGACCTGGACAGTGCTGAGGAACACAGATGGAGAGCCGCCCCAGAAATAGCCTGTGCGAGAAGGGGAGTAGCTCTGTGGCGAGAGCCCCACGGTCTGACAACGAACAGGATCTGGAATGACTACGAGAGGTGGGACAGTTTTGATCGCCCCTCGGCTCTCCCCCCATAGGCCCAGCAGCCTGGGATGAGCCCGGCAGCCACTCACTTTGTGGGGCACGGGAGGCCAAAAGACTTTTCAGTCTTCAAGTTGCCAAAACCATTGGCTCATGCAACATTAAACCCGCATTTAATTGCTGTTTAACATCTGCAAAGCATGAAGTGTTGATCGCCACTGCCCCCCAAGCCCAACTGTGAGGAAGGGGCTCTGGGGAGCCTCTGAGACTGATAGTTGGGGTGCCAATTGCCCACTCCTGAGATAATGTAGCCTGGATTAGTTAGGCTGAATGATTTAAAGCTCCTGGCAGACTTGCCTGAAAGGATCGTGTTTACTGAGAGAGATTAAACTATAATACGTCTTTCTAGTTTTATACTGATGGTTAGGGAGTGAAAAGAGTGGCTTATTTTTTTTTAATGGTCTCCTTTGAAAATCTGCAGGCCTGGAAGCTGAGTGTGATGATGCCAGTAATGTGCTCGCTGTTCTCTTCTATTATTTATACTTCTATTGAATGGTTTTTATTATTCTGAACTTCATAACGCTATGCAACGTTCAGCAGTGAGGCGAGGAAATAAAAACAGGGAGGGGATTGAAGACATTTGGATGGCAATTGCTGTAATTCAACTCAGTGTCTTCTCATAATTAATCTTCATGGTGATGCTGCTGCTTTTCTCCATGATGAAGCACATTAGGTCTCCCACAAGTGAAGATACTCCCGCACAGTACATCCATCAAAAAACCAGGGCATAATTTTGAGGCTTCAGGTATCTCCCACCAGACTAGGGAAAATGCTGCTCCCTCTAATTGTAGATTTGAACTGGCATTTCTGCAAAATTTGTGCTGATGCACCAGTGCATCAAATGTTGACAGCTTTCTGCTGAGAGAGAGATTTTCTTCCTGCAGCCAATGGGATAAAACCAGAGGTTTGGCCTTTCATGGTTATTCTTCCTCTCAGGCTGTGCGTGGAGTCTGGTGCCTTCTTACATTGTTGAAATAAACTAATGCTGGACGGAGTCCTCCAGCTGGTGTCACTTCTCGGTGTGTTCCTTAGGTTCCCACCCCATCTGAATGTTAACATTTAAACCAATTATTTTAGTTAACCAAGAAAAGTGGGGTGCTGGCATTCTGAAAGCATCATCTCTCATTTCAAGAATGCCTCTGGCTCCAGTACAGGCATTCTCAAGTGATGAAGTGGGCGGCTGCTTTGTTTAGAAGGTGCCCAACTCCCAGAAAAGCAGGCAGAAGCAAGCAGGGACTGTGTCCTGTCTGGGAGCAGAGGGGAGGGAGGAACAGCAGGTTGTGTTCTCTTAAACCACCTTTCCTAGGCCAGCCATGTTGTGAGTGCAGAAACTTTCCCAGAAGCAATTCTGCAAGAGTCTCCTCAATGTGTTCTTCAAATTGCCAATGCACCCTTACTTCCCCAAAAGGTAGGGGATTTCTGTAATGCGTGGTATTCGCCTCTGGTGCCAATTAAAGATGCATCTAGAAAGACAGTCCTTGAATACAGTACAGCCAAATAATATCAATTAAACTTCACGGACAACCCTTTAATAGGATAGTTATTCAACCACTGATGCAGAAGAAAAGGAGGATTTTTTATGGTCAAGTTCAATCTGAAATTGACAGAATATGCAAGTGAGATAATGTTGCTTGTCTTTGGAGAGTGGACTAAAGTTGGAAATATTAAGGACGAAAATGTAGTTGGTCTAGGAAACTACAATGAAGCAGTTTCTGCCAAGCCAATTATTTCTTCATTGCTAATTCTTCAAACAATCAAAACAATGCCTATATAGATGAACCTCACCAGAGGGAGTATATAGAAATCAAATTGATTGTATTATTAGTACCAGGAGGTAGGAGAGCTCAGCTATAACAGCGAAGAAGTGGTCAAGGGCTGTCTGTGGAATAGAACACGAACTGCTTATGGGCAAGTAAAGCTAAAGCAGAAGAACAAAGCCAGCCAATTTCCATGATAGGATCTTGACCATATACCCACCAATTTTAAGGAGAACATCAGGAATCACTTTGAAGTCCTGAATGTCATTGAGAGGGAACCAGAGGAACTGTGGAATGCAATCAAAGAAATTAAGTTGTTAAGAGGCTACCAAAGACCAAGCAACAGAAAAAAAAAAAAAAAACTGGATGTCAAATCAGATGATGGAAATTGCCAAGAAGAGAAGCCAGAAATGAAGAGAGACAAAGATTTCAGAAAGGAACTTAACGAAGAGTTTCAGGGAGCTGTTAGAAGAGACAAGCAGCATTACAACAGCATCTATAAAGACAAAGAAGATGGAAATGGGCATGGAAAACAAGGAAAGTCGTCCAAAAGACCTTCAAACTCAGAAGAAAGTTCCAGTCTCAAATTGGTATGCTGAAGGATGCCAATGGGCAGATATTGTAAGAGGAGAGCCATGTCAGTCTATGGCAGAAAAAAATCAGAAGGAGTAGGAGTTTTCAGACTAACAAGTGTTATTAAGAAGCACGAGCTTTTGTGAGCTGGAGCTCACTTCAGATGCATAGTGTGGCTAGACTAATGTAGGGCTTAAATTGGGGTGAAGTGGGGAGAGGGAGAGGAAGTCAGGTTGATTATGCAAATACAAGTTGCATGGGAGACAAATTACACTACAAGTACCTTATCAATTAACAGTTGTAATGTGTTAAAAACCCCTTTGTGCTTGTTTCGACCATCTGCGATGGCTTGAAACTTTTTGAGTGTCTGGGGACACCCTAAAGCAAGCCACAAAATGACTCTTTTGGAAAACAGAACTTTAATTGAGCAAGAGGTTGCTGAATTCACATCAAAAGGCTTCATGCTGGAAGGCTACAGGAATTTATAGAATATATACAGAAATATGGCAAATAACAGAAGAAAAATCAGTTCTAACCAACAGTACTCCAGCAAATCTGGAGAATGATAGTGGCCAACAGATTGGAATACCAATATTGAGGAAAGAAGACTAACAGAGTGTGCAACCTATTGCGCAATGTCCTTAATTGTACATGCTAGAAAGTAATGCTTATGATTGTCCAATTAGAGATTAGAGCCCTACATAGAGAGAGAAATGCCAGATGTGCGATATCAAAGAGTAAGAGACGTTATTGCTGATGCATGCCAGATAATTGAGAAAGCTAGAAAATACCCCCTCCCAAAAAAAGTCAACATGTACTTAACTGATTATAGAAAAGCCTTCAACTGTGTTGACCATGTCAAACTGTGGAAGGTGCTTCCATAAGGAAGGCAGTCAAGCAGAGGAACAAGCCCAGTGGATGAGAGTAAAAACCAGAAGCAAGAGATATTGAATTCAGCACCTTTGGAACCCAGACATATTTTTCAAGCCCTTGCAGTCGAAGCAGGCTCTTAGCATTCAGGGGAAGAAGATTATACTGGGGATTGCACTTAAGAAACATCCAGAGAGGTTGGATCAGGGTCAAAGAAGGGCAGTAAAGAAGATCAGGGAGCTGGAAACAGAGTCCAGCAGGAGAGAACGAATGATCTGGACATGTTTATCCTTGATAAGAGACAACTGAGAAGTGACACAGTAGAACCCTTCAAAGGTTGTCACAGGGAGGAAGGAGCCTAACTCCAAGGGACTTTGAGGAGAGATGCCTGGAGTATTCTTCACAGCTGCTCTGCAGATGGTCCGGTGACTCGCCCCTCCTGGTGAGGAATGGATCATCTTAAAGAGAGCTGCTCTGCTGGACAGAAGAAGAGCAGAAAGATAACAAGGTCTTGCAACTCTCATTACCACCATGTAACCCTTAATGTGGGCTCTTACAGCAGACTAAGTGGTCCCTTCTAACTCAAGGAGTCTTGGGATTGCTGAACTGGGGGTCAGGCCTGCCTAAATCTCTTTTGGTGTAATCCCCAGAACTCCTGTTGACCGTATCACCAAAATTTGATGATGGAGTTGGAATTAACCGAAAATATGTTATAAGCCCTAAAGGAGGCTTAAGAGATTTCTAGGGGGTGGGCTTTGCTTGTTTGTTTATGTGTGTTTTAAGAAAGCCTACCCCCAGAAGAAAGACACAACGTGGAAAATTGAAAGCCTAGCTGCATGTGTGACATGTAGCCACTTTCCCCTTCCCCCCCCCCCCAAAAAAATTAATTAACTATGGTCGCTGGCCACTCAAATTTTGTTGTTCCCCCTCCCCCGTGTATTTTTGGAAAAACATATGGTTCTCATAAACATTCTGCTGATGTTTATAAACAAATCAGTAAAACCAGCCTGATTCTGTTTAGCGTTTGGCCCAACAGAACGGGCTCCTCTAATTTAAATGCCGAAGGACATTCGAGCGTCTGAAAGAGGCGTATAGATGTTTTGTTCTTCCAATCTCTTTGGAGAGACAGAGAATCGTTATGCGTATTGGGAGAAGAATGTGGACACTTTTTCATTTATATTAACCTGGGACTTTATTTCTATCATGCTTGTGATCATGAATTGTGACAAGGAGATTCTTGCCGTAGCATCCAGTAATGCACATTTTTCTAAATCTCACGCCTGAGAACTGGGCTGCTTACGTGTACTTTGACCACCCTGATTCTCACGATTAATTTCTGTTTATCCAAATATTAATTATAGGAGAAGGTTGTAGCTGTAGGTGGTACTTAACTTACGTTGCCTTGATCCAAGGGTTCATTGACAAGATTTGTACTTTTCACCGAAGAGAAAGACATATTTGCCCTAAAGGACTTTGTTCACCGTTCCCTTGTTGCGGTGATGGTAGACTGTGCGTGATGTTGAGTCGTAGGATTTATGAGCCTGTGTTATATCCGTCCATCCCCTGGAGACAGGATCCATTTGCTTTGCACTTAGAGATGAAGGGACCACTAGGGACTCAGCGACAGCCGAATGAACTGCATCCTTTCCTTTTGCCAACTTCCCAAAATCTATCTCAAGGACAAACCAGGAGTTGTTTCTTTCCCTTCAGGCTTGGGGGCCAAGCGATGAGATCCCGTTTTTGCTCTACCTGAGGTCTACCTGAGATAAAAACAAAAATAAAAGAGCTTCATTCTTACTTTGCAATTCTGTAAGCTAAATAAAATCTTGGATGATTTTGGAAGGTCTTAAACCTAAGTCTGCTTTTCAAGTCCTGTCAATATGGGCCTCCATGCAAATAGAACAAGCACAATTTGAACAACAAGCAAAGAGGGCTAGAAGGATTCAGTTTTCTTTTACAGTTATAGTTACATTTCATCTCCCTATGTATGATAGGAAGTTTCTTTTTTTTAAAAAAAGCCGATATATAAATAGAGAGCCACTATACCTGGTGTAGTAGTAGTTAAGGCATCGGGCTAGAAACTGGGAGACTGTGAAGCCAGCTGGGTGACCTTGGGCCAGTCACTTTCTCTCAGCCCTAGGAAGGAGGCAAGGGCAAGCCACTTCCGAAAAACCTTCCCAAGGAAACTGCAGGGACTTGTCCAGGCCGTCTCCAAGAATTGGACACAATCATAACGGATTGAAAAAAATGCTAGGAAGTATTTTTTAAAAGAGCCAATAAATATGAATATGAGACGTAGAAATCTCAGTGAATGAAAACTCCCTTCTCATCAAAACTTCCATCTCAGTGCTGCTGAGTTTGGGGGCAGCTCTTTCTGTGAAAAGAGCATAAAGTTGGAATTGCTGCCACCTAGAGCTGAGCCGTCGCCTTGCCGACAAAGATCCGCATAGTCAGAGCTATGGTTTTCCCAGTAGTAATGTATGGCTGTGAGAGCTGGACCATAAGGAAA